GCATTATGTAGTGACCTTCCTTATCTTCCGTGATGGTTTTTACATTGATATTTATTTTATCAGAGAGTAATATGGCTACTCCTGCTTTTTTCTGGTTGCCATTTGCTTGGTATATTTTTACTCTCACAGTTTTTGACACTTACTAATTATTAAACAGCATTGAGAAAAACAGACTCAGCAGCTAAAAGTATATACTATGCACCCCAAGTTTTGTTGGGTAGATTTCAAACTATAAAGGAATACAGGCCTAGGGAAGTTAAACAGTTTTATCTGGAACCTGTCTTATAACCTGATAGTCTCATACTCTGCTGCCTGTAGTTATTCCTTTCTGAAAAGTGATTCACATAAAATACTGATGTAGTTTACTGTTCTGAGCTAAATGTCAATTGAATTTGGGCAATTTTAAAATTTTTTGTATAGGATTAGGAAAGATTTCCTCCTCCCCCCCGCCCCCTCCCACAGGGGAAAGCATGACTGCAGGATTAGGAAACATTTAAGTGAATTTTGAGTTTTATAAACTAATTGTTTTTTATACTAATTACACATTTTTGTTCTCTTTTCAGAATTGTTGTCTGTGTACTTCAGACTGTATCTGAGACCTTCACAAGACATTAATAGAGTGTTAGTGGCCAGAATAATTTATGCTGTAACCAAAGGATTCTGCTCACAAACTGATGGATTAAATTCTCAATGTTTAGATTTTTTCCCAAAGGCTATTCAGTGTGCAAGGTAATTTATTCTTTTTGTTTGATGTTGTGTGAAAAAAATTCATTTGGGCTCCTTGTAAGACTGTTTTAAATTCAATGATTTAAAAATAGTAACCTTTAAAGCATTACCATTGAAGAAGTGAATTCCCAGAGACTAGGCCAATGAATTCCAACAATTCAAGAACATTCAACATGTAGGATATCAAATGATGTTTTAAAATTGGAACTTAGTCTAACACTTCTATTCACAAAAAAACTGAAGTGTTTAATTTTTATTATTTTGTGGATAAATGTAATGAATCCATTAAGAATGCATTCCTTTAATAAGGATATATTCTGGGGGGGTGTGGAAATGCGTGTTTTAAGTTTATATGGTGTTAACTCAATTTATAATGTATTAGTTTTATATTTTTTAGAGTGTTTTAAGTATTGGGAAGAGCTGGTAAGAGTTAGCTTTTAGCACTAAATATAACTTATCCTTTTAATAAGTGTGTAATCCTGCTGTGATTTTTTTTCTCAGTAGTTATTGAAACTAAGGCTTTTGGAACCGAAAAATTAAATTACGCCTTTCTTTCAGCTTGTAATTTCATAACTGTCACCAGTAAGTGCAATTTTGATTCCCCTGTTCACCAAGTTGAATTTGTTTTCTATCACAGACAAGAAAAGAGCTCAGCAGGTCTAAATCATATCTTAGCAGCACTTACTATCTTCCTGAGGATTTTGTCTGTCAACTTCCGGATTCGAGTGTGTCAGTTAGGAGATGAAATTCTTCCTACTTTGCTTTATATTTGGACTCAACATAGACTCAATGATCCCTTAAAAGAAGTAATTATTGAATTATTTCAACTACAGATTTATATCCATCATCCAAAGGGGGCCAAAACCCAAGAAAAAGGTATGTAGGAAGTTTTGATTACTTTGAATTTCACAGTGTTCCTCTTTATGTTGTAACCTAAGTGAGCTCTGATGGATTAATGGAGCGAGTTGTGCTGCCAGTCCAAAGGCACACTGTTTGAATATGCCAGCAGAGCCACAAGAGAAAGACGAGCAGTATCCTCCTATGTCTTTTACTGCCTCTGAAAACCCTCTGGATAGTCAGCTGTCAGTCGACTCTAACTTGATCGTATGTAACAACATTATCACATAGATGAATTATGACATCAGTAATTTATAAGAAAATAAGACATTTTTGTGGATTAGCTTGATGATCATATTTAGTCATAAGGAATGTTTTTCACAGATATTTAGAATATAAATCTGTGTTACTGAATATCATGTGTTAACCTTTGTTTAGTAGTGGTAGGCATTTTGAGGAATATAGACAAATAAGATACATTATGCCCTCAAATATGACCTGATTAATTATGCAGCAGTTATTAGGTACCAGGAAGTGTGACACAGATTAAAAGGACAGAGGAATTTCTAGAAAATGGAATCCTTTTAATCTACATATTGATTATATTAGGAGATAAAATTGATAAATGTAATCTGATTGTTCAGATCCTAAGTAAGAAAAAGTCAGATTATTTTTATAGAATGTTAGGTGGAAGGGGAAATTACTGCCTCATATTTCTTAGTTATCCTGATTCCTGTATACTTGGAAAACAGCCAGAAATGAATGGCTTGTCTTTTCTCAATTTCCTCTATATTTGTCTTTCACTAAGAGTATTGCGGGAATGACGTAGCACTGTGCCATAGATAGGAATTTTAATGGCTAGGATTAGGGGTGACTATATGCCTAGATGCTCAATCAGCAGTCACATAGGTCTCTTCCTAACCTTTGAATTGATTCGTCATGCCTAGCTTAATAGTCTTTCTAAAAAATAAATAAGAAGCTTTGCCACATTTCTTAATCGCAGCTCAGACAATGACAGTAGCAGCAAAAAAGGCTCACAACCACTTTTCATCAGTTGTTTTTTGTGTGTTTTGTGGTCTCCTAGCACATAGTCAGATGTATTTGTAATCCATGAAACTAATGCAACTGAAACACTGATAGTAGTGGTAATTTTGCATATTTTTCATCTCACATGTACCTCTCATCACAGTGAAGGTTAAAGAGCTCTTTCGTAGGAGGTCATATGAAATATTAAAATTTTAGTTAACTGCATATTTTAATAAATCGAAGGTGACAAGATGATGCAGCTACCTACAAAACTTTTAAGCTACATTAATAAACCCCTTTTGTGGTAAATAGTAGTTCCATTATTACCGTGGTCAGACCACAGGTGGAGTATGTTTACCGCATTGTGTAGATTAGATATTTTAATTTAAAGATATTTAAGTTTACTGGAAAAAGGACTGGAATAGCAAGTGTAAATAATTGCCATTTGTACATTAGTTGAAAGAACTGTTAGTGTTTTTCAATTACATGTAAAAAGACATGGAGAATTAGGTCCTCATGTGAAAGTGATTCTGCCTGCCTCAAGGCAGAGAAGAGATTAGAGAAAGGTTTTAGATTAGAATATAGAACTTTATAACAAGTTCCGCTATTTGAATGTGGAATGGAAGTTAACACTAGTAGATTTCTCTAATGTTTCCAATTTAATAGCTGAATAATTTCATGAGATTGTTGATTGCCTTCGAGTCATTAGCCCTTGAATAGATATATACATAGATATATAAATGTAGATTAAACTTTAATTTTTGGATTACAGGTGCTTATGAATCAACAAAATGGCAAAGTATCTTATACAATTTATATGATCTGCTAGTGAATGAGATAAGTCATATAGGAAGTAGAGGAAAATACTCTTCAGGATCACGCAATATTGCGGTTAAGGAGAACTTGATTGAGTTGATGGCGGATATTTGTCACCAGGTATTCTAAGTCTTTGTGCTTTCTTTTATTTTAATCCCCTTGGTGTGTCTGTTGTCAAGTTTGAAACTCCTTTCTAAACTTTTCCTATTATTGGCCAAAATCTGTGTTCTCATAAAAAATTTGTGTAGTTAAACTTGATACAGGTAAATTTATCTTTAAAATGATCATAAATAGCTGGAATTACCAGTTTAACTTAAAATGTAATTCTTTTATGGATAAGGATCATGCACACTAAATGATGAGCATATGCATCCTTCCAAGATGATGTATAAGAAATATGACCCTTACTAAGCTACCTTTTTCTTAAATATGACGAAATAATTTATCAAAATTTACCATTTAAAAATGTGTCATTCAATGACTTAGTGTTTTTACGATGTTGTAGGGTAGAATTTGTGTGATTTTAGGCCTAGTTTCTTTCACTTAGCATATTTTTAAGGTAAACTTAGGTTGTACCATGTGCTATTGTTATGTGACCTTGAGTCACCTACAACTCATAGCAACACTGTGCAATAGCTCTGAACACTGCCCTGTCCTGAGCCAGGCTCACTATCTCCGACACATCTACCCTTATTACCCTAATTGACTGTGTCAGATCTATCTCATCCAGGGTCTTTCTCTCCTGCATTATCCCTACACCCTTCCAGGCATGATTTCCTTCTCCAAGTACTGGTCCCTCCTGGCAACATGCCCAAAGTATTTGAAACGGAACTTAAAATTCTTTGCCTTAAAATCCTTGCCTCCAAGGAACAGCTTGGTTTCACCGTCTCCAGGACAGACCTGTTTGTTCTCTTGGTAGTTCATGGAATGTTCAGTACACTTCTCTAGCACCACAACTCAAAATCCTCCTTCTGTCATCCTTACTCATTGTCCAATCGGTACTTTATTTAATTTGTGATTAAATAATATTCTATTATATAAATATATTTTGTTTGTTCATTTCATGAGTTGGTGACCAAATATTTTTTTTTAATTTTTATTTTATTTTATTATTTTTGTGTGAGTGTACCGTCAAATCAGATCTGACTAGTACAGGAGGAGATCGTCCCTCCTTCCCCGGCAGAGCATCTGGTGGATTTGAACCGTGCACCTCTGGGATTGTAGTTGCAGCTCCTTACCACTAGGCCACCAGAGCTCCCCTGTGACCAAATATTTTATGATAGAATATTTTCCCACAGAGATTAAGTTATCATCCCAAGTAATGATTTCATTTTGTCAAATATTTTCTTAGTGGTAAATTGAAGATTTAGTCTCTTTGAAAAAGTAAATTTTCTTTGGTTTTATATGTTAATGATTTTTAATAAAATTTTCTAGGAACTAAAATTGATATATTTTGTGGTAATATATATCTGTTTTTATAAAGAGCCTTTATATTTGTTTTAATGTTTTTTCCTTAGACAATTATATTTTCACATTTTTATATATTTTTTAATCTCTTACTGTATGACTCTCTATGACTTCATTTGTGGAGGAAATTGTTTTCTAGATGAGCTGTTGGAAAATAATATCAATGAAAAATGCTTTTCCTTTTACTGTTTTACAGCTTTTTAATGAAAGTACCAGATCTTTGGAGATTTCTCAGTCTTACGCTATCACACAAAGAGACTTCAGCAATGGCAGTGTACCTTGCAAAAAGAGGAAAATAGAATTAGGCTGGGAAATAATTAAAGATCATCTTCAAAAATCACAGGATGATTTTGATCTGGTGCCTTGGTAATTTTCTTTTTTTTCTCATCCATGTTCCTTGCCTTTTGCTTTCTCTTGGGTTAAAGAAATGTTTAAATATAATTGAGTAATATGTTAACATGTTGTTGTTATGTGCCGTCGAGTCGCCTGCGACTCATAGCGACCCTATGTACAACAGCCCTAAACTCGGCTCTGTCCTGTGCCAATCGCGCTGTCTCTGACACTCCCATCCCAATTATCCCAGTCACTGAATCAATCCACCTCATAGAGGGCCTTCCTCTCCTGCGCTGTCCCTCCACTCGCCCAAGCATGATGTCCCTCTCTAAGGACCGGTCTCTCCTCACATGTCCAAAGTATGCTAGACAGAGCCTCAGAATCCTTGCCTCCAAGGAGCCACCCGGCTTAACCCTTTCCAGGACAAATCTGTTTGTTTTCCTAGCAGTCCATGGTACTCTCAATACTCTTCTCCAGCACCACAGCTCAAAGGCATCAATTCTCCTTCTATCCTCCTTGGTCATTGTCCAACTCTCTGATGCATAACAAGTGATTGCGAAGACCATGGCCTGTATCAGGCGCACCTTAGTCTCCAGAGAGACACCATTGCTCTTCAGTACTTTGGAGAGGTCCATAGCTTTTATTTAAGATTGTATTTATTTTTGTAGGTGAAGGTGTCAATTTCAGATTCTTTAATTTGACTGTTAAGAGTTATTTAGTCATTTTAATCTCACTTAACTCTTCTCAGAAGATCTTCAGAAGATCCCTGTTATCTCAGAGGCCAGAAGAAGGTAATTTGTCTACTCCTACACCAATAATTCTCAAAGGGAATTACATTGCCGGAAAATACTGTGACCATCATGACGCAGATTCTGGTGCAGGAGACAAGGCCCACCCACCTCCTAAGCTTATTGTCATCATCAGGAAGAAAGAATGACTGTAACTAATCAGTGATGTCTGCTTCAAGGAAATCACTAAATTGTACACCTTAAATCAGATCTCTGGCATCCGTCAATAAAATAGGTTTGGAAGGTTTTAAAGACTGCCTTCAGGAATCACAGAATAATTTTGGTTTGGGGAGCTCTGGTGGCCTAGTGGCAAGGAGCTGCAACTACAATCCCAGAGGCACACGGTTCGAATCCACCAGATGCTCTGCCGGGAAAAGGAGGAACAGTCTCTTCCTGTACCAGTCAGATCTGATTTGACGGTACACTCACACAAAAATAAAAAATTAAAAAAAAAAAAAGAAAGAAAACAAAACTAAAAAAAAAAAGAATAATTTTGGCTTTGTACTATGATCAAAAGTTATTATTGTTTATATTTTAGTTTCGTATGTAAAATCCTTTTGTGGATTCACAAAATATTAGGTTGTCATTTGAGCCTGCTTACAGAAAGAAAACAAAAACTATAATAGTTAGCATTTTACCTAAAGATAAGATGTTAATTATAATTAAGCTTTTATGTTCCACGTCATTTTGCCTTTTACTAGGTTGATGGAATGCTTAAATATGATTAATACACTAGTATTAATGAAGATAGTTTTTATTTAAGGTCATGTTTGTTTATTGATTTAAGTATGCCTAGTTCAGATTCTTTAGGTTTGCCTATTCATTCAAGAGTTACTTATTCAGTATTGTTTTGTGCACAGCATTAGGAAAATAGAGATGAATAAGGTAAGGTTCCTATTCTTGATTGTTTTCCCTTTTCCCCCCCTCTTTGTTGTGTACCATTGAGTCAGATCCAGCTGGCACAGGAGGAGATTGCCCTTCCTTCTCCAGTGGAGCATCTGGTGGATTCGAACTATGCACCTTCACGATTGTAACACAGTTTTTTCCCACTAGGCCACCAGAGCTCCTGGTTCCTATTCTTGAATTGCAAAAATTCTACACAACTCAAAACAAATATTTTGTTAATTAACTTAGTTAATATCATGGAAAACAAGAGTTTGCTTATTCTTTTCTTTTAGAGGAACAATACCCATACCTGAAGAGAAGTGGGAGAGAACTCCAAAGTATTATGTTGCTAATGAATTATTCTTCAATAGTTTTGTCTAATCTGGCTGCTGCAAGCTGTAAGTTGCTGCTGACTCGTGTCGGGTTGCTTGACTGCCGACTGCCGGGTACTCTTCGAGGCGCGCGGAATCATGAGGCGGAAGTGGCGGAAGAAGCGGATGCGAAGGCTGAAGCGAAAGAGAAGAAAGATGAGGCAGAGATCCAAGTAAAGTGTTGGAACCGATAAAGAATGAGTCGGGCCACCGGCTGCTGCCCCGCATATTGCTTCCCATGGCTTCACCTCTTGAAAGAATTTTCTTTTTTGTAAATCTTTTTCTAATTTTTTTAAGCAGAAAATAAAGTGTATGAAAAGAAAAAAAAAGTAGTTTTGTCTAAATAAAATAGCTTACCCACCTAGCAAAAAAGCTAGTTTTACTCACATCTGCAGAAATAGAGTTTGGTAACTATTAAGAACCATTTAGGGCAAGGTTTGCATCTGTTACTCATATGGTCACAATGAGTCATAGCTGATTCATTGACACCTAACAACGATAGAGTCAACAACAGTGGCTCTGTATTGCCATAGGAAGAAATAATCAGAGAAGTTGGACTGTGTGAAGAGGAATGTAGTACCAGGATTGGAGAAAGACTGCATATCACAGCAGTCTGTGACGTGGATGACACAGCCATGCTTCTAGAATGTGAAAAGGACTTGAAGCCCTTACTAACAAAGATCAAAGACCATAGCTTTCAGTGTGGATTCCATCTCAACCTAAATAAAAAATTCACACAATTGGGTCCATAGACAAAATCAGGATTGGCATTGTCAAATATTTCATGTTACTTGGATCTACAATCAACATCTGTCGAAGTTGTAAAGAAATCAATTAATGTATCCCATCAGGCATATATGCTGCCTAATACTTCTTTAAAGTGCTTATGAGCTAGGCTGTAACTTTAAGTTAAGCCTAAGGCATGGTATTTTCACTTGTTTCATAAGCATGCGAAAGTTGGACAGTGAATGAATAAAGAAGACCAAAAAAGAATTGATGCCTTTGGATTATGGCATTGGTAAAGAATGTTGAACATCCATATCTTAGAAGAAGTGCAGCCGAAGAAGGTGAGAATGGTGAGAATTTATTTCATTTATTTTGGACATGTTATAAGGAGAGGCCATTCCCTGGAGAAAGGCCTCATCCTTGGAAAAATGGAGAGAAGATCCCCAACAAAATGGACTGACACACAGTGACTACAAGGGTGAGCCTGAGCACTGCAGAAATTGTGAGGATCGTGTAAGATCAGGCAGGATTTCTTTAGAAAGTGCTTTGAATGGAACCGACAACACCTAACAACGACACACCTAACAACAGCAATGACATGGAGCATTTTAGGAGGGACTAGGCCAGGAGATGGGCATCATGCTGGATAAGCTTCAATGACAAAGTAGAAGATGCTTAAAAGGTGGATTGATGCAGGGACTTCAGTTTGTGAAGATGACTGGTGCAGGTCTGGCCAGTGTGTTCTGTTGTACCTGTGATTCAGAACCGACTTTGTAGCGGTTGATGGCGAAAACAGAAAATGGTGATCAGGATGCTCTATTTAGAATATTGTAAGGATACTATGTCTACATGTTTCTTTTTAAAATTTAATGAATTAATGAATTATTGTCTATATGTTTCTTGATTTACCCTCCCCCCTTATTTTTTTAGTTTGAAACAGGATTAAATGGTTTTAAATATTTTGGTTTTTCTTTCCTCTTTAGGTTACAGATTACAACTCAGTTAATATCTAAGTATCCTACAAGTTTACCCAATTGTGAGCTATCTCCATTACTGATAATACTGTCCCAGCTTCTACCTCAGCAGCGACGTGGTGAACGCACACCATATGTGTTACGGTGCCTTATGGAAGTAGCATTGTGTCAAGGCAAGAAGTCAAACCTAGAAAGCTCACAAAAGGCAGATTTATGGAAACTTTGGATTAAAATTTGGTCTATTACCTTTCGTGGTATAAGTTCTGAACAAATACAGGCTGAAAACTTTGGCTTATTGGCAGCCATGATTCAAGGCAATTTAGTTGAGATTGATAGAGAATTCTGGAAGTTATTTACTGGGTCAGCCTGTAGACCTTCATGGTAAGTTGAATGTGTAATGTATCACATTTTAAACACACACACTCTGTGTGTGTGTGTCTCTCTCTCTCTCTCTCACACACACACACATTCTCAAACACACTTCTCTGATTTTATTATATTTTGTTATATTAAAAGTATGTTTCATTTTAGAGCTTTTGTTGTTTTGCCCATAATACTGCAATCATTCAGTCTAAAGATCAATTTTAAAGAATTAGAGCTTGAATTTCTTTGATCTATCATTGACAGTTGGTTGGAATTCATATACTTCTCCCCCATCCTGGTATTGTTATTATGATAAGAGTTGGTTTAAAAGCAATAATCTTCTCAAATATAACCATACTGTTTACAATGTGTGTGTTCATCTTCTCAACAAAAGTTTCCTGCATGCTTCCCATGTGCCAGGCACTGCCTGAAGCTTAAAACACACTGTGGCAAATAGGTAGGGTTTCTGTCTCCCAAAGACCTTGAATTTTACCAGTGCTTGTTCTTTTAATTTTTGCAGTCCTGTGGTATGCTGTTTGACAGTGGCAGTGACCATGTGTGTGCTTCCAGAAGCAGCAACAACAGAAATAGAGCAGAATATATGTGAAATGAACAGAAGTTTTTCTTTAAGGGAATTAATCATGAAATGGCTCTTATTCTGCCAGTTAGAGGATGAATTTGAAGATAGTGCAGAGCTTGCTCCAATTCTTCACAGGTAATTTCAGTACCTTACGTGCGACTATTTCCTTAGTTTTGGTTTGATTCTGTAAGGCTGCTTCCTCTACTTATTGATAGCAGGTGGCTTTATTTCACAGTTACAACGTAGAGTTTCCTAGACCTGCTGCTTATTATTACTTGTCCTTAAGTCGATTTTCACCTTGTAGAAGCTATTTGACGGAGGTAGCCACCCCAGCTAGAAATTGTACAGAAGCAGATCACCAAATCTTGTTCCCACAGAGCAGCTGAGCAGGTTCAAACTGTGAAACTTTTGTGTAGAAGCGTAGCTCTTTACTGATGTACCACCATGGCTCCTTTCCCAGTACTAGACCTAAGTAATCAGCATTCTTTTTTAGTTTTACAGTGTTCTGTTTCTTTGTAGGGAACATTGGTGGTCTAATGGGAAGAAGTTGGGCTGACAAACCCTAAGGCATGAAGTTCAAATCCACTAGCTGCTCTGTGGGAGAAAGATGGGCAGTCTCCCGTGTGATTTAAAGCCTTTGAAAACCTTTTGTAGGGTCAACTATGAGTCAGTTCCAATTTGAATGTGACACTATGTCTTTGCTTCTGGCTCTTTTGTCCTTTGTGTTTGTTCTCTGTCTAGACAATGAGAATGACGACATGTATGAAGAAAATGTATTTTATTCTTTAAGCACTAAGTATATTTCTCTGTGGTTTTTTGTGAATACATCCATCTGAACATACCTGACTAATGAGAATCTAAATCTTTGACAACAGAGTATCTTATAGGTGAGATACGTTAAATCGATAGGTTGAGTAAACAAATTGAACGTAAATAAACACCAGGACTGCAAGTGCCACTTACCCATATTTAATCTTTCCAATGGGTAGAAATTTCTAAGTGGTAATTTGAACTATATGATTGCATAAAGACCTGGATTCTATTGCTTTCACTTTAATCTGCTTATTTTGGAGATGATCTTTTGGGAAAAAATGAACTTGGTATCTGTTTCCAGTGTTGGGAATATTAATAACATAGAGTTTGTACTTTTGTAAGTTCTCATGTCAGTTTTTAAGAAATGCAGTACAAGTGAACAGAGTTTTAATTTAGGATTTATATTGCATGTTGTTATGTACTGTTGAATAGGAACCAACTCATAGTTAACCCTCTAATGAGTTTTCAAAGCCAGTTAATCAAACAGGAGGAGATTGCCCATTTTTTGGAGTAATTCATGTGTTTGAACTGTGTGACTTTGGATCAGCAGTGCAACTCCTTATCACTAAGCTACTTGAACTCCCTGTGTTATATTTTAGAGATCCATTTATATATAGCAAGTTTGCACATTTAAGTTTAAAGAATTCTTTAAATGACTTTTGATGTTTCAAGTCACTCTTTCTATTTTACTCTGTAGTAAGTTTCCTCATCTGTCCGTGGAGAAAATTCTTGTGAGTCTAACTATGAAAAACTGTAAAGCTGCAATGAATTTTTTCCAGAGTGTGCGAGAATGGTATGTTTTGCAGTAGAGTTGTTTGTTATTTCTAACATTGAGCTTTAATTTTTAAAAATGGTACCGTTATCAGCATCATAGTTGCAGCTTAATAATTAAGCCCTGGATTATTTAGCTTTTCACAGTCACAGCTGGAAATTTAAAACCATTTTAATTCAGAGATTGTTATCTCTGTTTTATAATTTTTAATCTGGGGTGCTGTCTTTTTTAGTGCTGTATATTATAACCTGTGGCATTTGTCAGTGGAAGAAATTGAGTGGTTATGATGGGAAATGAACATAAAACTATGTAAAGAAAATTTATTAAGATATTACTAGTAATTTTTATATGTCAAGTTAAATTTGTCTGCTCCTGAGCCTTAAAAACTTAATTAAGGATAAGGAAAACAAAAAGTAAATATGAAATCTTTTGTATTGATTCTAAAGACTTCTGTTTAGTAACTGGTTGACTTCACCAATCATTGGTTTAGATTCACATAAGAGCATACAATGAAAAATATCCTTTATTTTGGAGAAATAAAATATAACCTTCTTTTTCTTTTGCCCTTCTACTCTTCAAATTTGCTAGTGTATAACGAAATGTGATACAAGTCAATATCAAAGTTCAGAGGAGAGGCATATTTATAGGAACAATCTGCTACTTGTTAAGCAGTTTTTGAATAAGGCAGGTGTTCTGGTTTCATTTATATTACTAATACATGTGTTAGACAATTTGATTGCAAATTAATGATCTCACTTTTCTCCAAGTGAGCAATACCATAAAGGTAAAGAAGAACCTTCATTCTCAGAAGTGGAAGAACTGTTTCTTCAGACAACATTTGACAAGATGGACTTTTTAACCAGTGTAAAAGAATGTTCTGCAGAAAAGTACCAGCCCTGTACTGGGTTTTCTGTCCACCCAAATCTCAAGGAATCACTGGATCGCTACCTTCTGGCATTATCAGAACAACTTCTTAATAGTTACTCACCTGAGGTGAGATTTTTTTTTTTAAATACCAAAACCTATTTGGGCAGTTAATTGGGGAAACAGCAGTACAAAAGAATATGAGAATTCGTGACTGTGAACAATAAAAATCTCAAGAATGAAGAATAATGGATTTATTCCTTTGTACCCGGAATCTGGGAGACAACAAAGTAGAATTCCTTGTATTTAGGAGATCACCTTGGGTGGTTTAATGGGGAATAGTAAATACTTTGAATATGATGAAAAAGAACAGTTGGTGCAATGGTAGGAAAAGGTGTTATTTATACTGACCTACTTAGCTTTTTGTTGTTGTTAGGTGCCATTGAGTCACGTATGTATCATAGTGACCCTATTAACAAAAGATCTGAACCTAGTTCTGTCCGCCATCCTCATACTTCCTGACACACAAGAGCCCATTTCAGCCGTCACTGTGTCAATCTACATGGTTGAGGTTCTTCCTCCTCTTTGTCAGCTTTCTGTCCTTCGCAACATCATGTCCCTCTCCAAGTAATAGCACCTCCTAACAACATGTCCAAAGTGTATGAGGTGAAGCCTCATCATTCTTGCCAAAAGACACTCCTGCTGCACCATCTCCAAGATATATCTGTTCATTCTCTTGGCTGTCCATGGGACGTTCAGTGCTCTTCTCCAACACCATAGCTCAAAGGTATCAGTTCTTTTTCTGTCATCCTTATTCATTGCCCAGCTCTTGGATGAATAGCTAGAAATTGAAAAGCCTATTGCCTGAATCAGACACACTTTAGTCCACAAACTGACATCATTACGCCTTAGTAATTTGGAAAGGTTACTGACTGCAGATTAGGTGTTACTTAAAAAAGGGGAGGGTGATGAATAAAGGAAATACATCAACTAGCAGCGCTCCATTTTAAAAGAGATTATCTAGTAACTTTTCCTTATAAAATCTTAAGTTCTCTGTTAGTCTATTGCCAAAAATAACCAATTTCTGTTGACATAGAGTATGTTTCTACTTATTTTTATGTTCAGATCACCCACATGCCAAAATTGTTGTTAATTTTAGTCAGATTTGCCGTCTCTACAACTTTCACAGTAGTTAATATTTGAATTTAGGTTTTTGCATCCATTATGCATTCTCACCAGATTGCGAGAGGCCATCTTGTTGATTCCAGCTCACAGTGGTCCCATGTGTGTCGGTGGAGAGCTTGAACTACTGACTGGTTTTTAGAAGTAGATCATCAGACCACTGGGTTGATGATGTATACGGCCAGCTGTTCGGAGAAGATTGTCCATATTTCTTCCATGGAGCAGCTTGTGGATTTGAACTGCTTACCTTAGCACTGGCAGTGCAGTTCCTTACCACTAAGCCACCAGAGTTCCCTACAATATAAGACCAGAAAAAATTAAAAATAGTATTGTTATTTATAACCTCTGCAAAATCTTACGTAGTTAAATGAAATTGCATAAACATAACCAGCAAAAATGCTTTGTGCTCATCTAGGTGCTTGAAAAACTAGATAAATCAAGGTTCTTTCCTTCAAGAACTCAAAATTATTACGGTAATATCCTTTTCTATAAATCCAGTTTCTACTGATGGTTAGGAATATAGAGACACTTATTTGCATGTCAGTTCTTTCCAACCCTCCCTCTATCAGTTCTTGAAGAGCCTACTGTATATAGCATACATTCTACTTAAGAGGAGATGTCTGATTTGGACAATAATAGATATTTCTTCTTTTTCCTGAGAAGCCTTGCTGTCATACTTTTCAGTGATTTTTTAAATGTTTGATGTTTTAGAGATAATTGATAATAGGCTGATAATAACACCTTACCTGAACATTTGTTTACTAACATATATAGATATTTAGAGTATATCCAATAATTTTTTTGTGAAAAAAAAATATATACTTTTCCTTTTTTTTTTTTTTTAAATTTATGGCTTACTGTCAGACTACAAATTCAGAAATTCTTGTCCGGTGTTCGAGTCTCTTGGTAGGTGTTCTTGGCTGCTATTGTTACATGGGCGTGATAGCCGAAGAGGAAGCATTTAAATCAGAATTATTCCAAAAAGCCAAGGTAAACGAATTATGCTAATGAAGTTTTGAATAATTTATATGAAGTTTATTCCTGGCATAAATGGTATCTTTATTTGTGAAGCATAGAATTTTATAGAGTACAACACTTTGTCTTTTCTTTGGGTGTTTTGAGAGGAGTCCTTCCTTAAGACTTGAAATATTAAAGCAACTATAAATATACTAGTTAAAATCATATCCCAGTAGAATTCTAGAAACAGTAATAATGATTTTAATCTGTACTTTGAAAAATGTAGTTTGATTTTTATTTTGCTTTTTTGTTTTTACCTAAACCAGTGTTGATTAAGGCTGCTTTTCAAGTAAACTTTTAAGCATGAAACTTTTTTTTGGACTCTGTGTCCCACTTTGTCAAAGTTCAGGTTTACAGGATAAGCAGGATGTAAAAGGTATCATTTTCCTAGGTTAATCATAAATTTTAAATTTACAGTACAACCAGATGTAGACTTAACTTTTATTTCTTACCTGAAATATTTAAAAAGTAGACACTGTAACTGGAGCTTAGGTTTTTTCTTTTTTTCCTTACTAGTCCCTGATGCAATGTGCAGGAGAAAGTATCACACTGTTTAAAAATAAGACCAATGAGGAATCTCGAATTGCTTCAGTGAGAAATATAATGCTTCTATGTACAAGTTGCTTGTGCAATTGTACTGTGGTAAGCTGCTTTTATGATATGTAGATTATTCATGAGGTGGATTATCGGTTGTGTTAGTGTTACTGTTTTAATAAAAAATTGTAATTTGTGTTGATTTATATATGATTGGTATATAAAAATAATATACAGAGTAGTAAACATATAGGTAATCTGTCATTTTTTTCCCTCTGAACAGTTCAAATGAGATCACATCAGATTTTTTCCTATATCTGTTAATGTCAACACTATTGAGTGATGTTGCTGATTTTGTTAAAAATTTTATAAGCTTAGCATGAAGGCAGTTTAATCATTATATTAAGGTTTCCTAGATTCTTTCACCACTTTCATATACAACTTTGTGGATAACTTTTCTATGACAGCATATATTCAGTCATTTAATAACGATTTGTGGACTGTGGCCTCTGTAATGTGCATACGACTGTACCGGGCTACTTAGCAACACAAGATAAGTAACTCCAGCATCCCGATAATCATAAATTATATTTAATAGCAAGAGTTGTACTCAGAGGGGTAGCTGAGCTAGCTTAAAGTGTTGATTACAATTTGATACATATTTAAAAGCTAATGTTAATCACATGGTCATTTATCTGTACTGTTGTTGTTTAATGCCGTCTAGTCGTAGACGACTCATAGCGACCCTATGAACGAACAGCCTGAGCACGGTTTGTACATAGAGTTTCCAGAGGCAAGCCATTTTGGAAGTGGATGCCACGCCTGCTTCCAGGCTTGATTTAGTCGGGAAGCTCCAGCCAACACTGTCCACCATGGGTGCCCATTACCATGATTGGCACATCACTGTCACAGGCTTCAACATCACAGCAACCACGAGTTACCTCTGTACAGCAATGCACAGATCAGTGCTATACCACCTAGAAGAATGTTTGACAAGAAGACAATTTGAACCTATCTGTACTATCAGCATTTTTTTAAGTGCTTTCTGCCTATAATTTTAAGTTAGGGTAGAGAGTGAAAGGACTAAGTAACTTTAATACTATTTAAATACAAGAAAGAAGGATGCTGTGATTAGTATTACTAAGTGTACTGTATAATAATATTATTATACTAATTAGTAATTACTGAAAGTGAGAAGGAGATAAAGCGCTTGCTGCAAGGACTGCACCTTAAGTATGGATTGAAACTCAAACTCAAGAGTCACCACTGGGCGATGGGCAGCATTGCCATAGATGATGAAGAGATTGAGATTGTTAACAGCTTCAGTTTGCTTGGCTTCTCAATCAACACTCTTGGTACCAGCAGCCAGGAAATTAAATGATGAATTGCATTGGGAAAGTTTGCTGTCAGAGACCTCTCCAAAGTACTGAAGAGCTACGATGTTAGTTTGGGGAATATGGTGCGCCTGATTCAAGTCATGGTCTTTGTAATTACTTGCTATGTGTCAGAAAGCAGACTAGGCATGATAGAAGGAAAATTGATGCTTTTGAGCTGTGGTGCTGGAGAAGAGTATTGAATATACAATGGACTGCTAGGAGAACAAACAGGTTTGTCTTAGAGAGGGTGAGACCAAGCTGCTCCTTGAAGGCGTTGTCTGACATACTGTGGATATGTTGCAAGGCGGTACAAGTTGTTGGAGAGGGACATGCTTGGGAGGTTGGAGGGACATTGCAGAAGAGGAAGACACTCAGTAAGATGGATTGGTTGATTCAGTGACTGGGATAATGAGAGCAGGATGTATGATGTAGGGCTGTTGTACATATGGTCGCTGTGAGTCGCAAGCAATTCAATGGCACATAACAATCATAATACTAATATACTAGTAATACTATTACTAGTCTGTTGTACATAGGATTTTTGAAGGCCTGTCATTTCAGAAGTGCATGGCCAATCCTTCTTCCAAGTCTGTTTTAATTTAAATTATATATATATGATAGTAGCTGACAGAAGCATTCTACAGAAAAGAGCAGATGAAAGACATTTACTCAGTATTACTAAGAAAAGACTTTGACAACTAGTGTCTTGGTTCAACTGGACCAATACATTGGCAAAACTACAGAAAATACAAGCTGGGTTTAAAAGAAGCAGTGGGTCGTGGCACTAGAGACATTATTGCCAGTATCAGATGGATCTTGGCAGAAAGCAAATAGTATCAGAGGAATGTCTGTGTTTCATGAACTATGCAAAGGCATTTGACAGTATGAATCAAAACAAATTGTGGCTAAACTTCAGGAAAATGGGATCCCAGAGCACTTGATTGTGCTTATGCAAAACCTGTATTCGGACCAGGAAGCAGACCTCAAAACAGACCAGGGAAACACTGCATGGTTCAAAATCAGGAAAGGAGTGCATCAGGGATACATCTTGGCTCCATACCTTTTCAATCTATATGCAAAAAACATTTGGGAAGCTGGGTTGTATGAGGAGGAATCAAAATTGGAGGATGACTCAACAACCTACGTTATGCAGATGACACAACCCTGCTTGCTGAAACCGAGCACTTCCGAAGCACTTGCTACTGAAGATCAAGAACTGTAGTCTTCAGTATGGATTGAAGCTCACCATCAAGAAGACAAAGGTTCTCACCACTGGGCCAATTGGCAGAACTATGATAGATGGAGAAGAGATTGAAGTTGTTAACAATTAGCAGCTTGCTTGGCTCACAATCAACACTCTTGGCAACAGCAGCTAGGAAATAAAAAGATAAATTGCATTGGGAAAATTTGCTGTGAGAGACTTCTCCAGAATACTGAAAAGCAGCAATGTCAGTTTAGAGACTAATGTGCACCTAATCCAGGCCATAGTCTTCACAGTCTTCACAGTTACTTGCTATGCATCAGAGAACTGGACAGTGACTAAGGATGACAGAGCAAGAATCAATGACTTTGCGTTGTAGTGGAGTAGAGTCTTGAACATACCGTGGACCACCAAGAAAACATAGGTCTGTCTTGGAGAGGGTGAAACCAAATTTCTCCTTGAGACTAGGATTTTTCAAGCTCTGTCTCACATACTTTGGGCACGTGTCCAGAAGAGACTGTTCCTTGGAGAAGGACATCATGCTTAGAAGGGTGGAGGGACAGCACAGGAGAAGAACCCACATGAGATGGATTGATAGAATTAACTGGGGCAGTGGGGTTAGGTGTTTCAGAGTCAGTGAGACTGGCTCAGGACAGGGCAGGTTTCAGTGTTCCTTTACATAGAGTCACTGGCATTTCGATGGCATATAACCACCACCACCTTATATCTAATTCTTTATTTTTATTTGTCATATATAACTAAAAAATGTAGAAGATAATCGGCATTTCATTCAAAATAGGGAAGGTTATCTTCCAAGAATGATTTTTTTGTTTGCTTGTTTTTTTTTTTCTTTTTCCATTTGTTTGTTTCAGCTAAAGAGCAGTCCAAATAAGATGGCATCTGGCCTTTTTCTACGATTGTTAACATCAAAGCTAATGAATGACATTGCGGATATTTGTAGAAGTTTAGTAAGTATGCTTTTTGTTTTACTACCGTATTTCATTTATTCTGAGTTGTATGTGTTTTCTTATTAAAATATCTCTGAAAATTGCAATACCTCTTAATATTTGATATGCTACATTTTTCATTACCTAACATAGTACTGGAAATATGTATTGGAAGTAGGAGTGGTGGCATCTACTTCTTCAACAGCATGCCTCTGGAAACTTTATGAATGTTGATAAATGGCGATAGTTACAGAAAGGCTTCAGGGCTTTTGTTCATAGGGTCGCCGTGAGTCATGCTTGACTTCATGGCAATCAACAACAAACAACATAATAAACACATTTTCAGTAAAGATAATAAAGTGAAACCATTTTGAGATCATAACAATATCTGTGTTAATACCATACCAAATTTCAAAATATTTCCCTAGTCTTAGAAAGAAAAACAATAAAATACTGGGCCTTGGCTATCAGAACTGGAGAATCAGAGGACATGAAGTGACTTGGTTGGTACAACATGATCCTCTACAAAAATATTTTCTGTCCTGCATTGATAAGTGGCAGTTGGAATTTCAAAGCTTTTCAGTGTCCATCTAAAGTACAACTATTGATGTCTCCCAGCCTGGAGCAAAGAGAGAAGTAATCCAAGAGCTCTGGAAACAGCTAGACCATAGGGCTCCCCAAACCTCAGTCTCCAGAGCCCTGAGGCCAGAAGAACTTGGATAGTGCCAGGCTAACACCATTGACTTTGCAGAAAAGGATTATATTATAAAGTCTGGATAGAGCAGGAGAAAAGTGTGAGACAGAAGTAAAAATGAAGTCCAACTTACGTCCCTTAGTCACCTTCAGATGTGGAAGTAGGCTCACCCCTTGACTCAGTCTGTAAGGTGAACACCACCACCACTGGGGAGGAGGGGCACATTCCTTAGAACAGTTAGCCATGTGAGATGAAATGAGCAACATTTCACAAAGGCAAAGATCAGAAGGTAGAAAAAGTTAGGAGAGCAGAAATGAAAAAGGAAACACAGACAAGCACTGTGGCAACTGGACAATTAAAACAGACATTCGGGGGTGGGGGAAGAAGAACGAACTGGGGAGGAGGGTGGAGAAAACAGTGCAACAATGAATGAATGAGAACCCAAAATCTCTTCATTAAAACGAATAAAATTTAATAATAATTTAAAAAAAAAAGGAAACATAGGAGAATATGGTAAGTGATGATACTTTGTGGGGATTGTAATCCATGACATAAAATGTTTAGAATTGATGAATGGAAAACTAATCAACTCTGTTAATCTTTCCCTAATTTAAAATGAAAATATTCTTCTAAAAACACAAAACAAACCCTGTCCAAATGGGTCAGCATATTCATATTGTAGCATTTCGTTTTTCTTTGTAATATCATCTGTACTCTCCATTTTGGAGGCGTGTCTGGCACATGAGTTGATTTGTTATTAAGTCAGTTGAGTCTCTCTGCCTCACAACAACCTTGCAAATAACAGAATGCAGCATTCTAAGTCCTGTACCATCTGTGTGGTCCTTCCTATCTTTCTGTTTAGTGTTGTTTGACTGTGCTCATTCAGGTCTTTTCTCATTTTCATGAGGAAAAAACCCAACCCAAACTCATTGCCATCAAATAAGTATTGACTCAGTGCTGACTGTCCAGTGGGTTTTCAGAGACTAAGACAGATGAGAGGAGATTGCTCAACTTTGTCCCAAGAAGCAGCTGGTTAGTTTGAATTGCTTTTGGGTTAGGAACACAACTCTTTTCCTACTAGATTACCAGAGCTCCCTGTTTTGCCAAATACAGTATAATTTTTTTTATCATTGGCTATACATAGCATATAATCAAATACTGACTTCGTGAAAAAAAAAATTCTGTAATTTGAGTGCTTTAGCTTGGATTATAAATCCAGGTCATGTTTTTTGCATTTGCAGCATGGTATTCCATTATATGAGCCTGTGCATGCTTTGCTCTTTTTTGATCTATGTATACATAGAAGCATATATAACAACCTGTGTTATTATGATGAACTGACGTATCACTGATCGTCCAGTGTATTTGCAGATGCTGTAAATTGCACGAGTGAGGAGTACCCATCTTTCTCCTGTGGAGCAGCAGCACCTCGTGAAATCAAATAGTGTGCCCTTGGGTTGGAGCTCAATTCTTCCCACTGGCCAAACAGAGCTCCCTGTTACGTGTATATACATTTCTAAAGATTTTTTTTAAACTTTTTTTTTATCACAAATAATAATTTTTATTTGTAATTATTAAAAGGCTGAATTTTAAACAGATTCTTGAGCTGGTGGCTCATAACCATCAGCTCGTTCAACTTTTGCACCTGTCTCATCTCCAGTAGCTTTTCCAGAGCTACCACCTTCACCATGAAGTTCCATGAGTTTGCCCAATTCAAACTTGGGCTTCTTGAGCATTTTTACTTTCCTAACAAATACATCATGGAGAGGATAAATAGACTGCCAAACCTTTTCTATGTCTTTTCCAATGCTGTCTGGAATCAATTTATTGACCACCTCTTTCAAGTCATTTGTCTGCACCTCTCGGGTCATGATTTCCATAATTTTCTTCCAGATTTGGTGGACCTGTTGGTGCTGAGCATAAAATGTCTTCCGAATCTGATTGTTGCGTTTTTTTTTTTTAAAACCAACACAAAATAGACGGAGCAAATAACCATCAGTGGTTTTTACATCAACATGTGCTTCAATCATGGTCTGCCATTTTTTGACCATTTTGTCCCGGGTAAGATCCATGCCATGGAAGTTGGTGAGGCAGTTTTTGCCTTTAACATCCTCAGTAATTAGCTTGAATTTTCTAAACGCTACTTCGTCATTTTGCAAATCAGCAAGGCTCACTTCGAAAACATGACCCTTGAGTCCATCAGAAGCAATTTTGGTTCCTTGAGTCCTTGTGACTAATGTCTTCCCAATATTTCTTCTATTGAACATTGCTGGTGCCTTTACATCATACCAATCTTTTCTTAGAAAATGGATCAACCACTTTCTTCTTGGCTCCTTTTTTGCCACCTTTTTAACTTATTTTTTTAAAATTATTAATGTCAATGAAAATTTACAGAGACTTTGGATTTCTATTCATTCACTGTTGCACTTTTCTTCCTTCCCAATCCTCCCCCCTTGTACACTACCCTCTTGGAAAAGTAAAAGAAAAATTATTTCATTGTTTTACAAACCCTCCCCCAGGTCCACTCCACTATGCTGCCTTTGCTCTGGACTCCAGTCATGACAAAAATACCTAATCACATATCCCATTTAAACAGTTTTCTCCCTCATCTGTTTCAATGCAGTATACGTTACTGAACCTATCTTTCTCAGTCTGCCCCAACCCTGAGGTCAGTCCTGTTTTACAACAGTGACACCATGCAGTATTTGCTCTTTTGTGACTGAGATATTTCATTCAGCGTAATGTTCTCCATGGTCACCCATTTTGAATAATATTGCATGTGTTCCTTGTTTTTCAGTGCAACATAGTATTCCATTGTGTGAATATACCACAGCTTCTCTATCCATTCGTTTGTGGATGGGCACTTACGTTGTTTCCAACTCCTTGCTATTGTGAACAAAGCCATGATAAACATGGGTGTGCATCATTTATAAAGATTTTTAAGCTCATCTGCTTTTTGGTTAACACTTAAACTGCTTTGTAAATCTTTTTATAAGAGTTCTGCACTTAGGGTTCTTGTAGTTTTGTCCACTTCTATTGGTACATTTGAAAAATGTAGGATAAATTTCTAGTAATAGAGTTGCTTATTATGAATTAATGTCAATTTTAAAATTTTGATACAGAGGTTGTCTCCTAAAAAGATTGTCTTCAAATTTGTACTTTTCTCCCACATTTCTGTGAATTTTGAGTATTTTGATATATCTTATTATTGATAATATTTTAAATACTGTTTATTATTTCCATGTTAGACCTATTACAGTTTATGTATCTATACCCTGGCTGTTGGAGCTTTACTTGAAGCATTGTGGTATACTGTTCATACTTACACACATGAATCTGGAATTGCTTGATTTAGAAAATTTTAACTTAAATGTGCTTCTCAGTAGCCTACTTGAAAAGTGTTCTTGGGATTGCAGTGCAGCTTCTTACCACTAGACCACCAGGGCTCCCTGTGAAAACAATGTTCTTGTTTCTCTTCTTTGAAGGCATCATTTATCAAAAAGCCGTTTGATTATGGAGAAATAGAATGCATGGAAGATGACACTGAGGAAAATCTAATGGAGGTGGAGGATCAGTCATCCGTGACTCTATTTGAATCTGCTTATAGTGTTAATAATGATGCAAATGACTCTGGTGAAAGCCAGACTACTTTTGGTAAATATGTATTTTTACCTCTAAGGGACCTCATTATTAGCAGCTTTATTTATACTTACCTCATTCCCCCATAGAATAGTCTATTAGGATTGTTCTCCCTACCTGTATATTTTAAGTTTCTTTGTTTTTTTAATAGAATTTATTGGTTTTCGTATTTCATTGTTCATAGTAGAAATACAAAATTATTAAAGAAATATGAGCATATATTATTTTAGAAACAGAAAACAGAACAGGTTTAAAAAGTACACAGTAACAGTACTGTTAACTTTTTGCTGTTCTTTTTTTATTTGTTGTTGTTGTTATCTGTCATTCAGTCAGAGTGGGTTTTCAGAGGCAGTAAATCCCAAAGCAGACTGCCCTTCCTTCTCCCAAGGAGAAGCTAGTGGGTTTGAACCACATACTTTTGGGATTGCAGGGCATTTTCTCACCACTAGGCCACCAGAGCTCCTTGTTCTTTCTAGAGATTTTTCGCAATCTTAATCAGTATCAATATTCTTCTATTTTTCAGCTTGTCTGTTTTCTGTGGCATTAATTATAAGCATTTTTCATATAGTTACTTATATCTTTTAATAGCTTTATGATTTACCTAGCCATTTTTTGCAAAAAAAGTGCCAGAAATTGAAATTCTTTTATATTTGCTATTTGATTCTATAGTTCAGTACTGATAACATGTATTACAGTGAATATTTGTACTGTTTTTCCTATAGTATGGATTTTTTTAATACATAAACTTTTAAAGTTTATATTTTTTTAGTTGTGATTTTAATGAAAGTTTACAAAGAGGTTGTGTTTTCCTTCATTTATTGCTGGCCATGTCCCTCCCTCTTCTTTCTCCTCCTCCAGTTTACTAGTAATACACCTCTCTTTGCAGATTGTTGTCATACGTACAATGCCTAATCATATATTCTTTTCAGACAGTTCCTCCCCTCATCTATTCCAATGCAGTTTTTTCACTGTTAGTCATTTCCTGTTCTTCCTCCAATCCCCCATGTTTGTCCTACTTTATAACAGCAATGTTATACAATATTTGTCCATTTGTGATTGAGAAATTTCACTCAGCATAAGGTCCTTCAGGCTCACCCATGTTGTGTAATGGTTTATGGGCTCATGGTTTTTCAGTGCTGCATAATATTCCATTGTGAGAATGTACCATACTTGTTTTTATTCATTTGTTTGTTGATGGCTCCTTGGATTGCTTCCATCTCTTTGCTATTGTGAATAACATAGCAATAAACATGGGTGTGCATACATCTGTTTAAGTAGAGGTTCTGGTTTCTTCAAGGTATATTCTAAGTAGTGTAATTGCTAGGTCAAATGGTATTTCTACTTTGAGCTGTTTGAGAAAGCACCATACCTCCTCCTATATTGGCTGTACTATTTTGCATTCCCACTAGTAGTATGAAAAAAGTTCCAATCTCTCCACAACCTTGCCAGCATTTGTTGTTGGATTATTGTTTTATAGCAGAATCCTGGGTAACCCTTCATGAAGAATAAAGAAGCTTTTAGTATTAAATTAACCTTAGCATATTTTCACTTTCCTTAAATTTCTAGCTATGTTTTTGTAGAGATAAACTGTTAATGTTCAATATATGTGGCTTTTGTGCACACTCTTAAATGCCCCCTCTCCCCCTTAAATCTTAATGAGTATTTCTTTTCTTTTAGGTGCCATGAACCCTTTAGCAGAAGAGTATCTTTCAAAGCAAGATCTCCTTTTTTTAGACATGCTCAGGTTCTTATGTATGTGTGTAACTACTGCCCAGACCAATACAGTGTCTTTTAGAGCAGCTGATATTCGAAGGAAACTGTTAATGTTGATTGATTCTAGCATACTGGACCTTAATAAATCCCTTCATCTACACATGGTAAGTTAAATGAAGCAAATTTCATCTAATGTTGCTAGCTAAATGAAATTGACTTGTGTGTAGAAATCACATAGTTTCTCTGTCAATTCAAATTACTTCTCTATAAAATTAATTTTAAAAAACCCTTTTTCTTTTCACTAGTTTTGGAAAAATATTGGAGTGGATGATGAAACTTTAAACCTTACATCCACTTTAGATTAAATTCCCTTATGATATAATTATAAATTATTTTTAAGTAGGTCAAGAAACAGATCCTAAACATAAAAAGAATATACAACATTGTGATTGAAGGCTTACTCCCTTCTTTTACCTAGTTTATTTATTTTTTTAAAATTTGTATAATTTCAAAATGTCCAGAAGTTTTAAGACTATGGAGAACGCCTGTATTCTCTTTATAATTTTCTACCATTAGCATTCTAACATATTTATCTTATCGTGTTCTCCTTTTGTATATTTATGTAAACACAGTTACACAAAATCTCAATTATAATGAGGTGCACTCTGTCCCTTTTATACTTGATTGTATATTTTCTAACAGAAATACCTATAAAAACAAAATGTAATCATTAAAATTAGGCTATTAATACTGGAGCAGGCATTCAGGCATCTTGTGTCTTCAGTCTAGATCACTTTCTTAGTCTTCATTTATTTTTTTAATAATAAGGGGTTATTTCTTTTTACATTTGCTTACTGTGGGCTTACCTGTTGTTTTCTAGTGATAGATATTTAGATTTTTATGTGAATATTAAAAAGGGATTTCTCCTCCTATAAAGGCTTGTCTGTGGTTTTCTGTCCTTGGGCATGTAAGAATTGGAGGCAAAGAAATAAGGACTTGGAAAAGTCTAGGGCCAGTTTGCTCCTTGCAAACTCAAGCTCACCCATCCAGCATTGGGGAAGAAAAAAAAGGATCTCTCCTCTCCCCTACTGAAATCTGTTTATGAATTATTCATAAACTAAAAAACACTATCACCAAACCAAACTCACTGTCATCAAGTCATTGCAGCTCATAGTCACCCTATAAAACATAGTAGATCTACCCCGCCTTACAGGAAGACTTCCGCATACTTTTGCCACAGGGTAAGTAGTAGGTTTGAACTGCCTGCTACATAGTTAACAGCTTGGTACTGGGTGCTTTAGTCACAGTATGACTAGGGCTCCTTTTAGCTAATGATCAACTCAGTTCAATTCATTGTTGTTGAATTAGAAGCACCTTTAAAGTTGACCAGTGAATTTTCAGGCTATAAATCACATGAGATGTTATATACCATGGAGATGGAACTGACTCATAGCTGACGCTTTAGTGAGTTTTGAGAAGCTGTAAAATCCAAGGTAGAACAGCTGGTGGATTTGAACTCTGTGCCTTTAGGATTGCAGTGCAGAATCTTACCACTAGGCAACCAGAGTTCCGTAAGTCACATGAGATTACATATAGTTCTCCATCCGAGTGGCTGGTATTTGAGCTGCCTGCCGTTGAGTGAAGGTGCAGCTCCTTATCCAGTAGGCCACCAGAGCTCCAACGTGTTACCGCCTGTGAGACAGTAGAACTACCCTTTCTTAGAGGTCAACACCCACATGTATCAAACATCCCAGAGTTTATTACCTTCTTAAAAAAATTTTTTTATTGTGATTTGAGTGAAAGTTTATAGAGCAAATTGGTTTTCCATTTAATAATTTATCTCAGTTGTTGACAGTCCCCACATTGTAATTTACTCTTTCCATTTCCTCCCTTTGTTTCTTGTTTCTCTTCATCCTTTTTCTATCTAGCTTTCTGTCTTTTGAACTTTTATCACCATGGTCATGTGCTCAGTCCCACCGAACTGGCAAATATGCCAGACAACTTCCTGATTAAAAGTTTTGGCTCTGTTAGCAAATACTGGAAATGATTAATTTAATATCCTATTCTAAATATCTGAGAAAGAGCACTCTCTTCTACCTATAGACAGAAAAGCATCCCTTGTGATATTTTCTATTATATTAGAAATATGAGCTGCCCCTGTACCCATAATAATGTAGAAGTGTACAAATTTGCTTTATGTGGGGAAAAAATGATATTCTTTGTTGCCTGTGATTGTCTCTACTTAGAAAAATTCATAAATATTTTTAATCGTTGAGCTGGTAGCCCAAGCATAATTAACCACAACTGTGATAATGTCTTACACAGTTCTCACAATAGATGCTAGACCTTTATATTTATTTTCTCTAGTCTTTAGTAGTACTGTTAGGTGAGATACATCCTCACTCTACAGATAAAGGGAAAAAAGGCTTTGATTGATAAAAAGTAAGCTATTTAACCACACAAATAATAGGTTTTAGTACTGAGATTTAAATTAAGCCCTTTTTACCTTTAAATCTTTATTTCCCTCTAGGCTGTCTTTTTGAAATTCACATCTCTTATATATATGAATTAAGAGTAATGTGTAAATTTTTTTCTTTAATATAAGTTAGTTATCTGTATGGAATAAAGCAAAATCTATCTATTTATTCCTTATAGTATCTAGTGCTCTTAAAGGAGCTTCCAGGAGAGAACTGTCCCTTGCCAATGGAAGATGTTGTTGAACTTCTGAAACCTTTATCGTAAGAAATTAAAACTGTATGTTCTGTTCACTTTAAATTTATAAAATAACTCATGTGTTCTAGTGTGCTTAAAAAGGTAAACTTTTTTCCACACACCATAGCAATGTGTGTTCTTTGTATCGCCGTGATCAAGATGTCTGTAAAGCCATTTTGAACCAAGCCCTTCGTATAGTGACAAACCTAGGTCAGGACAGCGCGGACAGTGAGAGCTTGAGGGATGCACAAGGACAGTTTCTGACTGTGATTGGAGCATTTTGGTAAGTGCAAACTGTCTTAGAATTCTCCTTTTCCTTTACCTCTAGAAACAAATGCAAACTTCTCATTTCTATAATATTGTTTTCTTCTCATCCTCCGATGTAATTGAATACATCTTTATTAAGAAATGAATATAATTTGTGCTCCTCTTTTCTTGAAGAACTATACTGTTTTTCAAACGCCTTCAAGTTTGACTTTCTGTTTACTATGTTGTCTTGTAAATTTAGAGTCTTTAATAATTCTGATATGTGTAGCTGATAAAGCAAAATGCAGCAATCCTTAATTCAGTTGAATTGTTTAGTTTCCCAAAGTTACCAGATGGTTCTTCTTGTGTTAACTGGTTATTGCATGCATATCACAGTCTGAGATAGTATTATGATGTTCATTATGATGAAGCTTATCTACATAATTTACAGCCGTCATGCCTTCTAAGTCAACATATCAGTAAAGTCAATGAAGAATTTGATATAAAAGCAACTGTATTTTAATGTATTTTCAAAGCAAGTATACTATAACATAATTAGATACATATTATATACATAGAAATGAGGTAATTTTCAAGAAATTTATTTTCGCTTCAATTTTTGAGAACACAAGTTCGTTGACATAGACAATAAATATATGGAAAGAAACTTTGGAAACAACTTGGAATAATCTTAATATTCATTGATTTAAATATTCAGTGATTTTTCCTTATGCTTTCTTTGAATAACTGACATAGAAACATTGACTTTATTTTAGGCACTTAACAAAAGAGGGGAAATGCACATCTTCTGTAAGAATGGCTTTAGTAAAATGCCTTAAGACACTGCTTGAGGTGAGTTACTCCACTTTTAAGTATTCCTAAGTCTCTGTTAAGTATTATTCCCCAGTAAAAAAGATGAGCAGTCTTTTCCTGTGCAAATTACAGCTATGAGTTAGTTCCAACTCAAAGGTGCTTAACAACAACATTAACATTAACTATTATGTTAAAAGGCCTGTTTAATTTTTGTTATTGTTGGGTCATGTTTCTTTTGACTTTCGTTTACTATTGAAGTTGTTCTTTTTCCACAGGCTGATCCTTACTCAAAATGGGCTCTTCTCAGTGTAAAGGGACAAGACTTTTCTGTAAATGAAGTATTTCCACAGTTTCTTGCTGATAATCATCACCAAGTTCGAATGTTTGCTGCGGAGTCCGTCAACAGGTAAGGGATCTGCCTTTAAACATGGAACTGAACCTGTTCCTGGAGATGGCGTTTCAGCCAAAGATAAGGCAGGGCTATGTAGTAAATTGTAAGACCTACAAGGAATATGCTTCTCATTCAATTATATAAGGCCAATGGGAACACCATTTGTCAAAGTTCAAAAGACAGGAAAGATGGGCCAGTGGAAACAGGAATTGGGAATAAGGGTTTGACATTGAGGGAATTGCAGCTAAGGTTACAACCCAAAATGTGTTTGAATTGTTAAATGCCGTCTAAATCACAATTAAATGTTTTCTTGTGCAGGTTGTTTTTTTTTTTTTAATTGGTCAAATAAATATTCAGGAAATGTATGGAACTCAGTGCAATATCTAGCACTGTCGCAGCTCAGTGATGTTAGACTAATGAATATAATGTTAGAATTAGCTGACATTTAATTGTGTTTACATTGTGTGCCTGACATTCATGCTTTGTCTTAACTCTGTTACTGTAATTTATGGTCTCTGTGGGTTAGAGAGGTAAAGTAACTTGTTCTCATACCAAACAGCTAGTCAATAACTTAAATAAGCTATGTCTACTATTGTGAGCTCTGATGGCTTATTGATAAAGAGCTGCAGTCTCACCTTAAAGACATCTGGTTCAAATCTACCAGCTGCTCTGTGGAAAGAAGATGAGCAGTCTCCCTTTTTGTGATTTACTACCTCTGAAAACCTGCTGGAGGGGCAGCAGTGGATTGGTTCCTACTTGACAGTATATAACAATAGTAACAACTACTGCTTATGAGAGATAAAACAGATATGTTGGGATCTTAGCATGATTTTTTTTGTGAGTGTGTAAAATTATAAACAGTATTTTTTACATTGTCATTGTGTTAATTATAATTATGTTGATATGAGGGAACAGTCAGTTAAAGACTGGAATGATTCTGTTACGGAGATATGTTGTATGCATGACTCCCTGAAGAAACAGTTTAATGGGCTGAATGTTTATTAGGCTATTCAATGGACTTTAAAACTCTGTAAATTGGAACCTGATAGCCATTTCCTATCTTCCTTTCATGGTAAATAAAACAGTTTTTATATATAACAACTGTCATCACTTGAAATAGTAAATGATTTTAACATGCTTTCCTCTCTGTACCTCACTAGGATTGAAGGTCTTAGAAAGCGTTTCTTTGTTGCTGTACCTCTAGTGCCTAATACCATATCTGGCACAGCACAGGAGTTTTATGATAAATAAAGAAACGAAGAATATACAGAAAAAAGAAATTACAAGACTTTTAAGAAAAAAAAATAGCCCCAAGTTTAAATCAATTTGAATGACTTTGCTTTCCAAAGATCAAAGTGATAATATATTTATATGTAAAAGCATAAATTGTCCCACCAGTGATTTTAATATATGTATTTAAAACTAATTATGTCTGAAAGTTCACATAGGGTGACTTTAATAGTTTTGTTAGTCAGACTTTATGTTTAACTCCTGAAGTTAGGAACTCTTTTCTGTGAAAACATGATATATTGTAAGGATTGTTAATGGATGTGTGCAGTAATAGCGCAGGCCTTTAAAATTTAAACAAAATATAATAAAAAAATATTTCCTTAAGTTAAACATCTGGGATTATAGAGTGTTATAAATGGAATCTGATAAATCTCTGTTTTAAAGATTTTTAAAAAATGACTTGTGTCATTTATGGGGAGTTTTGTTCACATTTATCTATTACTGGATTACTTTTAGAAAAAAATAAAAGAATCCAAGGACAACTGAAGAGTAAATTTTTTTTTATGAAATAAAAACTGATTAGAGAACTATCTTAGAGTATGATAGGGTGCTAGCCCATCAAATAAATGTAAATGGAACATCGAGACATTAGTAATCCACTGCCTTTTAAGGTAATGAAATGTTAGAGCAGGGTTTTGAGGAAGCCTGTAGATTCTTAGTAATTGATATCTGACCTGTGCAAATTGCTATTAGGCTAGTTTTAGTTTCACTTTTTTTTCTTGGTTTTTTTTTCCCCCTCTTAAGGTTATTCCAGGATATGAAACAAGGAACTTCTCCCAGGTTATTGAAAGCACTTCCTTTGAAGTTTCAACAAACGGCTTTTGAAAATGCTTACATGAAAGTTCTAGAAGGAATGAGAGAAGTGGTAACTTTAATAGCATATACATTTGCTATTCTCATTTGCTTGCTTTCTTTCTCCCCACAATCTGTAGGTTGTCTTTTCACTGTTAGCAAAGGCTTTGGTGTACATAAGGATTTAATTTTTCAGAAGCTCTAGTCATCTATGTATTTTTGGTGATATTTGATAGTTTATTTATGCTTTAAGTTAACAACAGCTCATTGCTGTCAAGTTAGAACCAACTCACAGCCGAACTTCTAACAGGTTTTCAGAGGTTGTAAATTGCATGGGAGAAAATGTCCCGTCTTTCTTCCTCAGAGCAAGCGGTGGATTTGAACCACCGGTCTTTGGGTTGCCATTGAAACTCATTGCCCGTTAGGCCAACAGAGCTCCCTTGCTACGTATTGTTTTTGTTACTGTGTGTCATTGAGTCAGAACCGTCCCATTGCTGACCCTCTAGTGGGTTTTCACAGGCAGTTTTATAGCACAGGAGGAGATTCTCCATTCTTCTCCCAAGGAGTAGTTGGCAGATTTGAACTGCATGCTTTCAGGATTGCAGTGCAGCTTCTTAGCACTTGGCTGCCAGACCTCTCAACTATATATTGTTATGTCGAAACTGACCCATAGCTGACCCTCTGGTGGGCTTTCAGGGCAATAAATTGCATGGGAGGTGATTGCCCATCCTTCTCCTGCAGAGTAGCCCGTGGATTCAAAACTTCCATTTTTTTCCCTTTTTTTATTTTTTTAGAATTGGTTTTGTGCAATCACTTATGCACTTTGTTTTATAATATTAATTATAATTTTATAATGCCACTGTTTACATGTTATCAAAACCACCTTTCCCACTTCACCCTACCCATCCATTTTCTAATCTCTGTCCCCCCCCCCTCTCTCTCTCACACCTTCTGTAAGTCTACCCTCCATCATTGTTTTAAAAGGCATATAAAATGGTTAGGTAAATGATTTGTCAAACTTGTAATAGACAATTAGTCTACTATTAGTCAATTACTCATAATAGACAGTTGTCAATAAGAAAGATGATAGGGTGCATGAAATCCTGTTTTAGAAAAAATTTTCCATATCGTAAGTGTAACTTAATATAAAACTTACTACAGATAAGGTAAAATATGCATATGAAACTTTCCCATCATTAGTATGAAGGAAAATCATTGATTTGGCAGTAATTCATTTGAGAGCACAATATAAAACAGTATTGTTTTACAGTTTTCAAGAAAGGTAAAATATATATCTTCTTTTGCATTAATAGGAGTATAATATAGAAGAAAGGGATAGTAAAGCTTGGATAGTTATTCTTTTTGAAGATAGTATTTTTGCACTTGGTTTTGGTTCTAAAGAAAAGTGAATTTTTAACCAACCTATTGAACTATCTGGTGATAGGTGTTCTATAAAGAATAGTTTTCAGTATCTGGAGTTTTCAAACATCTCAATAATTATCACTTAGTAAAGGATATGGATCTTACAAAACAAAGGCAGGTGAGTAGCAAATTTCCTAAATGTGAATAGAAATTTCTAAGAACTATAAACAAAAATTTTTAGATACCCAGTAGGATATTGTAGTGATTCATCATTAAACTAGATGGCATGCGTTATTCTACCTTTGACTATAAAAAACTGTATTACTAACTATTAAAATGATACACATCTTAGGAACAAATCTATTTTAAATACACCTCACTGAAATGGTTTTCTTCACCGAGTGGTGTAGTCCCTAGGAAATTGGTGCTTCTAGTGCAAAACTGATACCTCTGTGGTGGCTTGAATTCATCACTAGCTCTGTGAGGGAAAGATGGTCAGTCTCCTCCTCTGTAATTTACAGCCTCAGACATCAATATTGGGCAAGCTATGAGTCAGTTTGAGTTTTAGTTGTTCCCCCCCTCCCAAAAGATGTTACTAAAAGTAGATAACACTCTAAAGAACTTGTTATTTTCTTAAACTCTCTACTTTTCTTCAGTGTAGGACTTTTTAAAAAATACTAGTTTATTTACAAAATTTGAATACATCAGTGTAGGATTTCAGGCTTCATTGAATGCTTGGATACTGTCATGAGAAAACTTTTTCATTTTCATTTCAATGTATAATGGAGATTTGTATTACTTTTTTAAAAAATTCTTTTGCAGTCCCTTGGTGCTGAGAACCCTGATCTTCTGGATGAACTTTATAATAGGAAAGCTGTTTTACTCATGATGATAGCTGTGGTTTTACACTGCAGCCCAGTCTGTGAAAAACAGGCTTTATTTGCTTTATGCAAATCTGTCAAAGAGCATGGATTAGAATCTCACCTCATTAAAAAGGTATATGCGAATGGGTATTTTTTATTTTATTATAATCTTCCTTGTAATAAAGAAGTTGTTTTTAGAAATATAATCTAGATTTGTAAAATGGTATTTATTCAGGATTCAGAGACAGTTTTATGTGTTAGAGAATATTGGAAACCAGTTTAGCACACAGACCCAGCTCTCTGGGATAGCATTTACCAGGGAATCTTCTAGATACCAGGGAAGTAGGAGGTGCTTTGTGCAATGGATTCTGGTACAACACATTGGTATCTATCAGCTTCAAAATCAAGGGGTCAGGGACCTTTCAATGACCAGTGGTGTCAGCCAGGATGAATGCATGAGACAGGGACACCAAAAAATGAGGGGAAATAAATAAAGAATATAAAATATCATTGATTTCACACGCGAGCAAGATTCTACTGAAGATTAATCCAGAAACAACTGGAACAGCACATCAGCAGAGAACTGCCAGAAGCCCAGGCTGGGTTTAGAAGGGGTTGTGGTACTAGGGATATTGTAGCTAATGTTAGATGGCTCTTAGCTGAAAGCAGGGAATACCAGAGGAATGTCTATCTGTATTTCATTGATTATACAAAGGCATTTGACTGTGTGGACCATAAAAAACTGTGGCTGACTTTGAGAAGAATGGGAATCCCAGAACACTTGATCATGCTAATGCGAAACCTACGCTTGGACAGGCAGTCATCAGAACAGAGCAAGGAAACACTGCATGGTTCATATTGGAAAGGGCATACGCCAGGATGTGTCCGATCTCCATTTCTTTTCAACCTGTATGTAGAACAGATTATCCAAGAGGCTGGGCTCTATGAGGAGAAGTGTGGCATCAGGATTGGTGGAAGAGCTATTAACAGTCTGCATCATGCAGATGACACAACCCTGCTTGCTGAAACTGAGGAGGACCTCATGCATGCACTTGCTGCGGAGGGTCAAGGACTGCAGCCTTCAGTATGGACTGAGGCTCAATGTCAAGAATACAAAGATTCTCACCACTGGGCCAGTTGGCAGCATCAGGATGGATGGCGAGGAGATTGAGATTGTTCACAGCTTCAGTTTGCTTGGCTCCACAGTCAACACTCTTGGCACCAGCAGCCAGGAAATAAAAAAATGTATCGTGATGGGAAAGTCTGCTGTTAGGGACCTCTCCAAAGTACTCAAGAGCAACGGTGTCTCTCTGGAGACTAAGGTGTGCCTGATACAGGCCAAGGTCTTTGCATCAGGAAGTTGGACAGTGACTAAGGAGGATAGAAGGAGAATTGATGCCTTTGAGCTGTGGTGCTGGAGGAGAGTATTGAATGTACCATGGACTGCCAAGAAAACAAACAGATTCATCCATCCTGGAGAGGGTTAAATCGGGTGGCTCCTTGGAAGCAAGGATTCTGGGGCTTCGTCTGACATACTTTGGACATGTTGTAAGGAGAGACAGGTCCTTGGAGAGGGATATCATACTCGGGAGGATGGAGGGACAGCACAGGAGGGGAAGACCCTCTATGAGGTGGATTGATTCAGTGACTGGGGTAATTGGGATGGGTATGTCGGAGACAGTGCGATTGGCACAGAATAGAGCAGGGTTTAGGACTGTTGTCGATAGGGTCGCTATGAGTCGCAAGTGACTCGACGGCACATAACAATAACGACAATAATGTCAAAACCCCTGGAATGTGTGTCAAGGAGGTGCCAGAAGTTTACCTGAATTCTGAAAAGGACAGGAATAAATAAAGGTCATTGCTATGTCAGATGGATTTTGGCTAGAAGCAGAGAAAACCAAAAAGATGTTTACTTGTGGTTTATTCACTATACATAGCCGTGTCTCCGTGTGACCATAATAAATTATGGATAGTGTTGCAAAGAATTAGAATTTCAGAACATTTAATTTTGTCCCTATAAAATACGTACATAGACCAAGAAAGCAGTTCAAACTCAACAAGGGGATACTGCATGATTTAAAATGAGGTAAAGCAGGTCAAAGATTGTAGTCTTCAGTATGGATTGAAGCTCAACATCAAGAAGACAAAAATTCTCACCACTGGGCCAGTTGGCAGTACTATGATAGATGGAGAAGAGATTGAGTGTGTTAACAGTTACAGCTTGCTTGGCTCCACAGTCAGCACTCTTGGCACCAGCATTCAGGAAACCAAAAGAAAAATTCCATTAGGTAAATCTGCTGTCAGGGACCTCTCCAGAGTACTGAAGGGCAATGATGTCAATCTAGAGAATGAGGTGTTCCTGATCTAGGCCATAGTCTTTGCAGTTACTTACTATGCATCAGAGAGCTAGACAATTACTTAGGATGATAGAAGGAGCATTGATGTCTTTTAGTTGTACTATAGAAGAGTCTTAAATATACCATGGACTGCCGAGAAAACAAATATGACTGTCTTGGAAAGCATGAACTTAGAGGCTAGGATTTTGAAACTCCGTCTCACATACTTAGGGCATGTGGTCAGGAGAGGCTGGTCCTTGGAGAAAGACGTCTTGCTTGGAAGGGTGGAGGGACAGTGCAGGAGATGAAGACCCTGGATGAGATGGATTGATACAGTAACTGGGGCAGTGGGGCTTGGTGTTTCGGAATAAGTGAGACTGATTCAGGACAGAGCAGGATTCAGAACTGCTGTACATAGGGTCACTATGGGTTGCAGGTGACTCGATGGCACATTGATGCATTGGGATTGTGTCCTTTCACCATACCTTTTCATCTGTTTACTGAGCAGATAATCCCAGGAGCTGAAGTATATTAAAAGTAACACAACTCCTGTTTGGAGGAAGATTCATTAACACCCATTAACAACATAAGATACGTACAGTGCTCCGTGCTCCGTGCTCCTTGCTCATTGTTGCCTTTAGGTACTTGTTGAAGAAACTTAAAGACCATTACCTTTAGTGTGGATTATACGTTAACATAGAACAAAAATATCCTTAAAATCTTACTAAAAAACAAAATCATGATAAATGGAACAAAGATTCAAGTTGCTAAAGATTTCTGTGGTTAAAAAAAAAAAATTATTTACTATATTGGGGAAATCTTCCAGAGACCTCTAAACTGCTAAAGAGAAAACATTTTGAGGCTTAAAATGTGCCTTACCCAAGTGGTAAAGCCATTCGATTCCTTTGTGATGTTGGCAGAGAATACTGACTATACAATAAATTGCCAAAAGAATAACAAATCAGTCTTGGAAGAAGGGCACCCAGAAGCCTTCTTAAAACCATGGATGGTGAAACTTCATCTCACATATGTTGGGCATGTTATCACCAGTCCCTGGAGAAAGACCTTATGCATAGCAGAGCTGTAAAAACAGTGCAGCTGGCGTGGGCATGGCAGTATCTGACCTGCACCAACCTTCTGGCCGGAACAGTCTGCATTCATGTCGTCTGTAACACAAAGCTGATTCCCATGAGTTCAAACATGCCCCCATGCTCGGACACCTATTTACAGGAGTTCAAACACCCAACTAGCCCTCTCACGACTCAGTACTCTGCTACTGAGTCTGTTAATTCATTGTAATGGCCACACAGAGCTCACAGTCAATACTGAAAATTATGGACTTGTTAAGGGTCAGTTGGAAATGGTCAAGATAGATTTCTGAAGCTTCTCAGGTGAGCTTGCTGACTCCCTGACCATCAACCTCAAGAATTAGGGTAATGTTAGTTCTTGTAGTCCCGCCAATTATGTTGCCTCCCCATAATGCACCAATAAGCCTGGGTGAATACCCCCAACTCTGGCTCCGTGAGTTTGTAGTTGCAGTTCAGCTCTGTCTCGTATCAGTCTCTGGTTGTCTGCTGCTGTTCCTGCTGCTGGTCTGGCCTGAGTTTGATGCTTGAATTTCTGGCTCCCAAGGACATGCTGCGCTCTTCTTCCTTGATGGTAGCAAGACTTATTTTCGGTCACTGAACTGGCTCAGTTTAAGCCTGATGGGATGTCATAACTTATGTGTTGGCTTACTACTAGTCTGTACATCTTGTTTGCATTTATCCATCTGAAAGGTGCTTTTATCCTCATTGCCATATTTAGCAATGACATCATTCTGGAGACTAATGTGTGCCTGCTCCAGGCTATAGTCTTCACATTTCCCTGCTATGTGTCAGAGAACTGGACAATGACTAGGGATGATAGAGAATTGGTGCCTTTGAGCTGTGGTGCTAGAGAAGAGTGTGAATATACCATGGACTGCTAGGAGAACAAACAGGTCCTGCAGAAGGTGAAACCAGGCTGCTTCTTGGAGTCAGGGATTCTGAAGCTTCGTCTGACATACTTTGGACATGTTACAAGGAGGGACCAGTACTTGGAGAGGGACATCATGTTTGGGAGGGCGGAGGGACAATACAGGAGGGGAAGACCCTCGATGAGATGGATCAGTTCAGTGACTGGGGAAATGGGAATAAGTCTGTCAGAGACAATAAGATCGGCACAGAGGAGAAACTGGAACCCTGATTCACTGTTGGTGGGAGTGTAAAATGGTGCAACCCCTGTGGAAAGCCGTATGGCGCTTTCTCAAAAAGTTGCAAATAGAGATACCATTTGACCCAGCAATTCCACTACTGGGAATATACCCTGAAGAGACCATAGCTGACATCCAAGCAGATATATGCACACCCATGTTTATTGCAGCTTTGTTCACAATAGCAAGGAGTTGGAAACAACCTAAGTGCCCATCAACAAACGAATGGCTAGAGAAGCTGTGGTATATTCGCACAATGGAATACTATGCTGCATTAAAAAACAAGGAACTCATGCAATATTATTCAAAATGGTTGACTCTGGAGAACATTACACTGAGTGAAATATCCCAGTCACAAAAGGACAAATATTACATGATGCCACTGTTGTAGAATGGGACTGTCCTTGGGGTTGGGGAGAGACTGAGTAAGATGGGTTCAATAATGTATTCTGCACTGAAACAGAGGAGGGAGAAAACTGTTTAAAAGAGATATATGACTAGGTATTTCTGTCATCACAGGAGTCTAGAGCGAGGGCTACATGGTGGAGGGGACCTGGCGGAGGGTTTGTAAAACAATGAAAGAATCCTTTCTTTTACTTTTCGATAATTTTTGACTCATGTACTTGTAACTTGTTAGTCAAATTTGTGTCTTCTAGGTTGCAACACCCCCATGATACATCTTCAAGGATATGAACATGTACGGCCAAGCACAATCAATAAGAGTGCATCTAAATTCCAGAATCAATCTCCATAATAGTCTATGTGTTTCCTACTGCCAAAGGGGCCCTTTAGAGTAGTGAGAGAAGATCTTCACCCTGAAACCCACAGTGTCCCTTTTCAGCAGGAAGTAGCTAAGAGAATACGCCATCCCCTTTTCCTTATGAATCAGGGTGAAGTCTTTCAGGGAGGAGTGATAGGGAATGGCAAATGACACACTGACAAAGGAGATTAATCAGAACTGACTTTGACAAGCACTGAGGCAATTGGACAATTAAAACAGACATTCGGATGGCAGGGAAGAAGAACAAACTGGGGAGGAGGGTAGAGAGAATGGTGCAGCAATGAAGGAATGAAAACCCAAAATCCCTGTAAATGTTCATTAAAACTAATAAAATTTAATAATAAAAAACAAACAAACAAAAAAAAGATCGGCACAGAATAGAGAAGGGTTTAGGGTTCTTGTACATAGGATTGCTATGAGTCACAAGCAACTCGATGGCATCGATCAGTAATAACAACAGTTCATCATGATGTCAAAGTCAATGACAAAGGCTGGATAAAACCACAGGATCACGATAGTACAAAGAGAGGGTAAGCAAAAAGGAAGAAAACTCTCAATGAAGTGAATTGACACAGTGGCTGCAGCATTGGGCTGAAGCACAGCAGTGATTGTAAGGATGATGCAGGATTTGGGCAGCGTTGACTGTGTTGTGCATAGAGTCCCTCTGACTTGGTAGCACCTAACCGTAAACAGCCACCCTCTTGACTGGAGCAGACCAGTGGATAGAAGTCCTGAGCTTTCAGTTAGTAGTGCAGTACCAAAAAAAGCTAGTACCAGCAAAGCTCCTTGGGGACTCTATGAAATTATACTAAGAATATTTTCTAATAACAGCTGAGAGTTGCATGTCTTTTATTCTCATTTCACAGAAGAGGAAATTAATGTGCAGAAAAGTTAAATAAGAACGCATAAGGTCATTGGTTGGAAAATGTGTTTTATTTTGTTTTGATCTTTTTAAAGCATTGAATTCTTTTTTATATACACAGGTTTTAGAAAAAGTGTCTGAAAGTTTTGGATACAGACACCTGGAGGATTTCATGACTTCTCATTTAGATTACCTTGTGTTGGAGTGGCTCCATCATCAAGATACCGAAGACAGCTTATCTTCCTTTCCTTTTGTTTTATTAAACTACAAAAATGTTGATGATTTCTACAGGTAACTTTACATGTCGCGTCTGTGATTTTTGTTTTGTTTGGTATAAAATTGGATAATAATATTTGATAAAACTCTCCTTCTATTTTCTCCTCCCCACCAAACACATACACGTGGGAGGTTGCATAAGATGTAAGTCAAGATAGTTTGTAATGAGTGGGTGTTGGAGTTGAGAATCACTGGACATAAGTGTCCAGTAATCAGCTGTGTGACTTTAGGCAAACTATAAATACCTCCTGGGCTTTGACTTTTTAAATTTGCATGTAGATCTTTAAGATCCCTTTCAAATTAAATACTGTATCATCTTTCCTTTGAAAAATCAAAAAGAACTTGCTAATCCCTGGTTACTTATGCCTTATTTTGTTGCCTAACTGGGCCATTTTAATAGTCCTTATTTCTGTTCTGTTTGCAAGTTTAATAGAAATATATTGATTTTGCCAGTCTTCCCGTGGAACAGAGTATTTTTAAAGCAGAGAGATTTGAAAGCATTGCCATATAAAGTTCTGTTAACAGAATGATGAAAAAAAGGTAGTTCATATTCATTGAGGTAGGCTTTAAGAATGGTAATATAAAATTTTACTCCAAAAAGTTATATGTAACATATTTTTTAAATTATTATGTTTTAGATCTTGTTACAAAGTTTTGATCCCACAATTGGTGATTAGAAGTCGTTTTGATGAGGTGAAATCCATTGCCAATCAGATACAGAAGGATTGGAAAAGTCTTTTAACAGACTGTTTTCCAAAGATTCTTGTAAATATTCTTCCTTATTTTGCCTATGAAGATAAAGGAGACGGTGGGATGCCACAGCAAAGAGAGACAGCTGCCAAAGTCTATGATGTACTCAAAGATGAAAATGTATTAGGCAAACAGGTATAACTTCAACTTATATCTACTTTTACTCCTTAGTTGACCTAAGTTGAATATTTCAAGGCCTTTTATTCACCACAGTGCAATCAAAATAAACATAATATAGCCTTGAATTTTTGAATTTTATTTTTCTTCTGATCATTTATATATATTTTGTCATAGAACATTTATTATATTTGATTAATACATAATTCTAGTCAGTAGCAAGAAGCTGCATTGGAATCCCAAAGGCACATGGTTCAAGGCCACCAGCTGCTCCATGGGAGAAGGATGGACAATCTCCTCCCATGCAATTAACTGCCTCTGAAAATCCACTGGAGGGTTAACTGTGGGTCAGCTCTGACTCAGTGGTACACAACAGCAATGCATAGTTTATTCACTGTATTGTGTGATCAGCCTTTTATCATGTACTTCATGGTACTGACCTCTTAATGATTTTTACTCTGCTATCTCCTTTCCATTCCTGTTAATCGTCTAAGAAGGATTCTGTTTGTATGTATAAACTTTGCTTTGGTTTTTTTGTCATACTGGTCTTATGCTAGAATGCTCTCTTTGTGGCTGAATGACTTTGCTTATTGGTATGATGTCTTCTAAATTTCTTCATTTACAGCTTTTTGGTATATAGTATTCCACATAGTATGCCACAGTAATGTGCCATAGTTTCTGTTTGTCTATTGATGGGACTCTTAGATTATTTTTATCTCTTCTGCTAATGTAAATAATAACTACAGTGTGCAGTGAACTTGGGTGTGCAAATTCCTATTTAGGACATGTATCTCATACTGCCATTGCTGGATCAAGTGATGCTTCTATTTCCAACTTTCTTGTTTTTAATTTTATTTATATTTCTTACTAATTTCAGTAAAAGTTTACAGAGACTTTGGATTTTCATTCATTCATTGTTGCACTTTTTTTCCCTCCTAACCCTCCCCCCAGTACACTACCCTCTTGGAAAAGTAAAAGAAAAATTTTTTCATTGTTTTGCAACCCCTCCCCCAGGTCCACTCTACCATGTAGCCTTCGCTCTAGACTCCTGTCATGACAAAAATACCTAATCACCTAACCCTTTTAAACAGTTTTCTTACTCATCTGTTTCAATGCAGTCTACATTATTGAACTCATCTTTCTCAGTCTCTCCCCAACCCCAAAGTGAGTCCTATTTTTCAACAGTGGCACCGTGTCCTTTTGTGACTGAGATACTCCACTTAGCATAATGTCCTCCAGAGTTACCCTTTTGAATAATACTGCACGAGTCCCTTGTTTTTCAAAGCAGCATAATATTCCATGTGTGAATATACCACGGCTTCTCTACCCATTCGTTTGTTGATGGGCACTTAGGTTGTTTCCAGCTTCTTGCTATTGTGAACAAAGCCGCGATAAACATGGGTGTGCATATATCTGCTTGGATGTCAGTTATGGTCTCTTTAGGGTATATTCCCCGTAGTGGAATTGTTGGGTCAAATGGTATCTCTATTTGCAACTTTTTGAGAAAGCACCACACCACTCTCTACAGTGGTTGCACCATTTTACACTCCCACCAACAGGGAATAAGGGTTCCAGTTTCTCGACAACCTTGCCAGCATTTATTGCTTGCTCTTCTGTTAAATTTAGCTATTCTGACTGGGGTGAGATGATATCTAATAGTTGTTTTGATTTGCATCTCTCTTAGAGCTAGGGATATTGAACATTTCTTCATGTTCTTGTTAGCCATCTGAATGTCTTCTTTGGTGAAGTGTCTGTTCATATCCTGTGCCTATTTTTCTATTGGTAGAAAGAAATCATCTATTTCTTCTTTGGCTCTGATTGTTGGTGTATATATCTGAATGATAGTGGTATTCACTGGACTTCCTTGTAAGCATATGGATATAATCCTGTCACTCACGATGTTGTACTTCAAGATGGATCTAGAAATTACTTTTTTACTATAAAGGCAACTCCATTTTTCCTTG